CTGTTTTAGGTATGCTTCGTCTCTTTACATATACTTGCATGTAAACGCCAAGTGAAATATGCAATTTCTCATATGAATTCATCATTCACGGCTCATCCTCTGTCTTAAACTGAAAGAAAAGCCAAAGAAACAAACAAAATATTTCTAAAATGAGGAAAGGAGAAATAGTATCTGCTATTTAATAGCAAAGCATAAAAACTGGACACCTAGGTACTCTGAGGGTATGAAGTTCAATCACTGAAACATGTTCTGGTAAAGATGAAATTTTAAGATACAAAACTACTTGTGGAATATGCCTAACTAGGATGAAATAACCTTAAGTGCAAAAAAGCACACACAAAAAATGTACCAAAATTATTTAGTCAAAGGTCTCCTCAGGCTTGACACCAGAGACCTCAGGCAAATACATCAACCATATATCTTCTGGGTGTTTAAACTGTAAAATTAGGTACACCCTTGAAAAATCATAAAAAGCAAAACCACTCAATCACTTGTTATGCAAAGCTACAGCATCTCCTCTAACAAGATTCAGAATTTACTTACTCACATTCCCATTGGTCAGACATTCCCACATCGAGATCTCTGTTATTCATCAGCAACCTTTTCAGTACTGCTTAGGGAGATTCAAATTGCCCTGCAAGAGTTCACCCAAAGGCAAGGGCTCCTTGCACGTGCACAGGACTTAATGTGCTCAGCACTCACATCAATTTCATGGTGTGACAGACTTTGATGTAGGACATAACCCATTATAGGAATTAATAGCAAGGGCAATTGTGCTGAAAACTACAGAATTTGCCAGAAGCAACACACTGCCAGACTGTCGCGACTGCTAATTTTTCACCAAATTTTAGCTGTCTTAGAAAATTTTATCTTTTGGGATGAAATTTCACCATTCGCTCTCACTCAAAAAAAAAAAAATCACTTCACATAAAAACAAAACAGCAGGGTAGTGGCTAAGTCTCTTTGTGAACCATGATTTTTTTTAATGTGTAGGAGTGTTTTGCTTTTATCTATGTAAGTGCACCATATGCTTGCAGTGCCCACAAAGGACTGAAGAGGGCGAGAGATCCCCTGGAACTGGAGTTATAGGCAGTTTTTAGATGCCGTGTAGGTGCTGGTAATGGAACCTGGGTCCTCTGCAAGAACAATCAGTGCTTTTAACCATAGTGACACCTCTCCAGCCTCTAATCTAATTCTTTTTCTTTTTTGAGACAGAGTCTCACTATGCACTTCTGGCTGGCCTGGAATTAATTCACTATGTAAACCAGGCTGGCCTCCAGCTCACAGACCTCTTCCTGTTTCTGCCTCCTGAAAGTACCACCAAGCCCAATATCATCATCTTCACAGAAAACATTTGATTTTTTTTCCCCCTGAAGTAAAAATCTGAGATATCAAATTTGGCAATAAAAATCAGAGGTATCTGACCAACTGGATGGGGTGTTCTGACCTATCTATGTGTGCACTAATTGTTCACCAATTCTTTCCACTTCCTAAATGGATGACTGGTGTTTCTATCAAGAGAAAACCTCTCCATCTGACTCAATCCATACTTAGCACTTATGGAAATGCCTCACCTCTTTCCACAAATAGTAAAGGATCTGAAGGTGAGCAGTAAGTAGTCTATTCATCTTGTTTCTCTAGCTCCTAGCTGTATAAGGTCAAAATCAGTGTTACAGTGCTGTTGACAAACAAGCAAATTGTATTTCAAAGGCGGGTATATTTGCTAAAATTGAGCAAACCTGGAATCAGATAATCTAAGTTAAAACCTGATTTCACTGCTTATCTTTGTTTTCTCATCTTTTAAACAGAGATCATACTGACAGGGACAATAGACCCTTATTTGCTAAGAAAATTAATAACACACATCAAGTGCTTTGCCTATTATCTTGTGTGTAGGAGGCCCCCCATTAACATTAGCTCTGCAGGCTACTATTATAAATAACAATAAGGACAAGCAACCAACAGACTGGTAAAGAAAATCTTTCAGGTGGGCAAGCAAAATCAAGAGGCTGGGAATCGTTTCTCACCAATTTTATAGATTAAAATATTTCCAGGCTGCAGGTACCAGGTGAGATTCAAAAAGAAGTGTCCGAAGTAGCAGCAGCGGTTAGGCAGGCACCTGAGGGGGATCCCAACCCAGGGGGGATTAAACATGGCCGTTCCACCTGAGCAGAGTTACAGACACAGGCTGACTTCCAGAGGGATGGAGAGCCTCCAGTCTAAGAGAAGAAACACTTAGGAGATTTGCCTAAAGAGACACACTGAGTCTGTCCAATGGCACAGGTAACTTAAAAACTATTAATACCCTAAGAGGTAGTCCAGAAAGAAAGCTCACCTAAAAATTCAAGTAAGAAAACATAAGCCATGTTTGAGTTTGGTTTTTCTAATTAACTACATATAAGGAGGGGACAAAACATTAGACTGAAAATAACCAAAACCTAATGAAATATAAATTTTGAGTTTTCCACTTACTTAACAATAACATTGCACTGCACTGGATAAAAAATGGGTTTTAGCAAGGCTGTGCTCTCTGCATCCCAAGGTTAAATGCATCCTGTCTGTAAACTTCCTCCTGTTCCTGCATACCACTTCGTAAACACACTATCCCTTGGCAGACTATGAAAACTGTCTTTTCTTTAATCTCTGAAATATTATGGCCAGTATCCAATTTATATATGTAATTTAGGGCACATCCCTAAATTCATATTTTCTTTCACATACATATGCTTAAACTTCACCTTACCACCTCTGCTTCTCCAGTGTGGGGATTAAAAGCCTGCACCAACACACCTGGCTAAATTTCACTCGTAAAGTCAGGCAAATACTTTGCATAGTTTGCGAAATCCAAGATGCAATGAGGTCACATCTCTTAACATTGTGACATGTCCTATTTAGAGACAGAGGCTTTAATGACAAATATAATCATAAATGAACCATTACACTGTTACCGAAGAAAGGAGACATAGCCTTTAAGCCTTAAAACGTATCTTCTCTGAAAAGGCAAAGGCTTGTCAGCATACTTCATGGTGCACAGATAAGAGTAGAGCCTAAAGACGAGGAGGAGGGAAGCAGCTTTGCTCTGTTCAACCTTCTTCAACCTGTTGTACTCACACAAGATGTGGCATTTCCTCATGTTGGTTTGTATATGGGATAAACAGCTGTACAAATGGTGGCAGTGATGTAAAGGACATCAGAGGACATGACACTTTCCCTAGAAAACCTGCACCCACCCTGCTAGTCCAGGCTTCAAAATGTCAGTCCCCCTGGCATTTCAGCCTGATGTGTCTCTTACCATCAAGGCGCAGGTAAAGGAAGTTCCGAAAAGCAAAGTAATCCTCCATGATGGTCATGAGAGATGTCATCTGGCAGAAAAGCAGCACACGGTGGTTGGTGGCTCTCAGTTTGGGCAAAATACGATCAAGTAGCTCAAACTTTCCCGAGGCCCTATACAGCTCAGCCCTGAACCCAAAAACAAAACAAGAAGACAGTATTACCCACGTCTTCTTGAAGGCTCTGGAAATGCTTTCCTTTTCACACAGAGACTTCCCCAAAACAAACATTCAACAAGCAACTGTGGATGGAAGAAAGAATGAGGGAATATCAGCTCCAAGCTATGAGAGTATTTAGAGGAAGGAGGAAAGTCTTTCATACAAAGCCATCATGCTGCATATGGTGGTAGATTCCAGAAATAAAAGAAAACCCTTCTATATCCCTAAGATTTTTCAGGGTATGCCAAACAAGTTAATTTAGGACACTAATGATTCATCTAAACACTAAGTGAGCATCTACTGGGTACCAAGACAATGCTAGGCAGGTGTACAGTGATAAAATAGATAATTACACATCATGCTAAGTCTGTGAAGAAAGGCAGCAAGTGACAGTAAGAATTCAGAGTGTGTAACACCTGGCAGCTTTCAAAACGAGTCTTTTCAGTATGCAGACATGCCATGCATTTCTGCTGTCTGTCTGATTCCGTCCTACACGACCAAGTCAAGTATGTATGGTAGACTTTATAGTCCACAAAACTAAAAATATTTCCTATCTGGCCCTTTACTGATAAGTTTGCCAATCATTTACTTAAATGACAGAGGTTAGTGACTTCCCTGAAGAAAGAATACTTTAGCTAAAACATGAAACAATGACTGAAAAGGCATCGAGGTGAAAAACGGGGGCATGAGCAGGGGATTCCAGGGAAGGGAAGGAGCATGTGCAAAAGCCCTGGGGACTCAAGGAGCCCAGTGAGCCTTAGAAACTGGGAACAATAGTGGTGAATATGACTTAGGAAAAGTGAGGAGAGAATAGTGGGACCTGAAGAGAGAGTCAGGAAGTGGAAAGAGGAGCAGGTACTGGGGCTCAACTAGCTCCACTGAAGGTCCTAGTTTTCAATGCAATGGACATACACTCACACATGGTAAACACTAGCAGGACATGGAGGACTTGTTTTATAAGGTCCCATGGGCACTGGGTGTGAGTGGACCTGGGAGAGGTAAGGTCCCAGCTCATGGCAGGAGTACAAGGCAAAACATGATGATAGACAGACAAGGCCAGGCTATGCTAAGGACAAACGCTAATGGAAGGCCTTCCTCCACAATAAACATTTGGTCTTTACAACAACAGGTCCGTGTTGTTAGCTTTCAAATTTCATTTTAGGATTGAAAATGTCTGAAACAGTCACCTACTCACATGCAGTTAACAACAAGGACATATCACTGGAGAGCAGACAGAGGCCATGGTACATTTTATTCCTTATAGATACATTCTCATGTTTTCCTGCCAACAGTCCATCATCGACTCTCAGAACTGTCCTCTGGTAGCCATGATCCCCCACATTGCTGGCCATGCTGCAAGGAACAGGAGTGAACACAGGACCCAGGGGGAACTGAGGCAAGGACCAAGGAGAGCAAGGTGGCCTTGGTCTTCGGTAGGTCCAGTTCCTGTTCTCTCAGTGACCCTGCCTGCCCTTGGCATCCAATAAGGACAAATCCATCCTCACATTATACCTCCCCTAGGGTGAGACAAATGCTCTGTGTGGAGCAACCTTCATTGCTCTGCTATGGCAAGGCCTGGTTCTTTTCAATGTTCTCTGTTAATGAAAAACATTCCTTGTGTAGATAATACTCCAAAAATGAATGACTGGAAAAGAGTCATTTATAACAGATCAGACATCCTCTTTTATACACATGGACGCTGAGCAGCCATAGGAAATTTAGTAAGATAAACTCTTCACACCCAAACGACACTTATGGTTAGTAGTCACCACCCTCTACAACTTCAACAACAGTTTAGAACATGAGGCCACTATGAAGTGAGATCTACATCCTTTGAATAGTCACTTACTCAGGGCAAGTTAGAATTTATGCCAGTAAAGAACAAGAGAATGCTGATATTTTGGTTAATTTCTGTCCCTCTCTCTGCAAGGGAGCAAGAAGGGCTAAGGAGACTGGCAATGTACACTCGCAGGATAGAAGATACCATAGAAAGAAAGAGGTTTGGTAGGACCGATAACAATGTATCTTGAAAGAGAAAAAAAAAAATGAGGATTTACCCATTGATGACCCCATTTGAATAGCCCAGGTGTTCAGCAAAGGATTCCTTTAAAAGAGAGAAGAAAATGTAATTATTAACTTCACGGTTTTTGTTGTAGTGAGGGTGCCCTATGTATTCATAGAGTATAATTAAAGCAAAACAAAAAGTGAAGAAGTATGTCCTGATTACAGAGCAAACCAGAACTCGGGTCTCTGAGGTTAGTTTTTGTCCCACTAGAACAAAATCCCTAGAGTGTCTGGACTTGCTCTGGACTCCCTGACAAAGGGTTACCTCACTGACTCTATAGCACTTGAACATCTACTGACCCAGAGCTGAACCTGGAGCTGTTTTGGGGGACTGATCTACCTATAAGTTCACAGTTCAAGCTAAAGGCAGAACTCAGTATAAACCAGTCAGGACTAATATGTAGGCAAAAATGCAACACAGAAATAGTCAACAATAGAAATAATGGTAGCTGTATACTGCAAGCCTTGGTCTACTGAAATCCTGACATCCCTCCTGTACCACGGCCTTTCTCTTTATAAATAAAGCCCTGAATGCATTCTAACCTGAAGGCCCAGCTTCTACTTTTAGAACACAGATTTTAACAGGTGTTCATTATTACATATTCAGTTTCCATCCCTGTCTCCAAGCAAGTTTGGGAAGATTAGAACCATGGGATGTGTCTGTGGACTTTGATAAGATTAGGCATCGGCATCATTTGAAACTCGCAGATTTTGAACATGGTGGTGCATGCATGTAGTTCCAGGTACTAGGGAGGCCAGGGCAGGAAGATCACTTAAGGCTAGGAGTTTAAGACCAACTTAGGCCACACAGAGAGACCCCTGCTCAAAATCAAGCACACAACTTTCATTCTGCAGTTTGAAGGTCCCCAAGGAGATAGTGAGAATAGGCTCAAAACTGGGGTTCTTGGAGCTGGAGAGATAGCTCAGCAGTTAAGGGCCCTGGCTGCTCAGCACATACATGGCAGCTAATAGCCATCTGAAACTTCAGTTCCAGAGTATCTGATGCCCTCTTCTGTCCTCCATGGGTATTACATGCATGTACTACATCTACATACATGAAGACAAAACACTTGCACATAAATATAAAAATTTGAAAGCTGGGGTCCTAGAATGATTTGGTATCAATAAACAGTTGTGTGGCAAATGAAACAAAACAGAACACAGACACACGTACACAGCATCATCAGCCAGTAACAGCCAGGCTGGACAACAACTAAGGTTTCTAGGAATAGGGTCCTCAAAAATTTGTATGTAAACAAGCACCAATCCAGTCTCTTTCCACTGACTACTTAAAGTGCAAAGAAGCAGACACAGGAGCACACGCTTCCTGAGCTTTATGACCCCACTGGAGCTCAAGATGCTCAAAGAGAGAGACAGACAGTATTTTCCTTCTTCCCTTATAGGGCCTAAAATCAAGCAAGACTGAGATGAAATGTCATAATTTCTAAGTCCCCACAGACCTCTGTAGATCACAGTAATTCAGGAACAATAGGGTGGTGGGTGACACAACCCAATCATTTTCAGCATTAGAAATTTTTTCTAATGTTGCTTCACTCCCTATCCCAGCACATACCTAGCACTAACATACAGGCACTTTCCAACTTCTTAACATGTTGTTTTTAAATTTTTTATGTGTATGAATGTTCTGCCTGCATGTATGTAAGTGCACCACATGTATGCAGTGCCTGTAGAGACCCGAAGAGGTTGTCAGATCCCCTAGAAGTGGAGCTGAGACACTTGTCAGCTGCCATGTGGATGCTGGGAACCAAACCCAGGTCCTCTGCAAGAGCATTCAGTGCTCTTCACCAATGAGTCAGTATTTTCTTTTTCTGTCCAGCTCCAGATTAACATGTTCTTTACATGATGTTTCCTCTGTTTTGTTTTAAACGTTGATCTGCCTGTCAGACCTATAACCTATTTCCTCATCAGTACAAATCAGGCAGAAGACAGCTTAGAGAGTCAAGTGACTTATCCCAACCAGTCTTAGTGAAAAAGAGGCCTGTGACAGGAACTTATTGCTCATTGGATTCATTTGGAGTCTCCTGTGTCCACAGGCACTCTCCTGTGCATATTAATGCTCTCCTACAGCTATAGATACTATCCCTGCGTCCATAAATACTCTCATCTGGGTCCCCAAATGTTCTACCCTATATGCATTCCTGAACATGTGTCCATGGCTATGGATACTTTCCCTTGTGTCATATATTCCCTTGGGTCCACAGACACCATCCCTGATGTCCAGGGATGGTTCTCTAGGTCTATGTATCCTCTCACTATCTATGTATGCTCTCCCTGTCTGAAAACAAAAAGATCCTCCCTATGGCCACAGATGGTACTCCTATGATCAGGGATGCTCTCCTTGTCTATGGATGGTTCCCTATGCCCATGGATACTCTCTAAGTCCATGGATGCTCTTCCTATGTCTATTGATGGTTCCTTATGTTCATGGATGCTCTAACTCCATGGATGTTCTCCCTATACCTACAAATGGTTCCTTATCAACTCAATATTATCCCATGTTTAAGCTTTAATTTTCTAGAAGACTCTATTGTTTAAATAAAGCAGAGCTCTGCAGTGATGTGTCTCTCTGCTCTGTGTCCCATTTAGTTTGTAGTACGAAGCAGGCCTTTTGCTCTCAAGTAACTGCATCAGGACCATCTGGTTCTGCAGATGGTGAGAGGGGCTTCTCTGTCCTTCTGCTCCAGACAACTGCCCCACTGGAGTGATCCCTGTCAATGTAGGAATCTCATTCACAAGGAACAAACAGGGCAGAAAATGTTCCTTGTCCTAAAAGAGTATTCTAGAGACCTGAGCATCAGAAGGAAGTGATGATCTGCATCATCATGATAGAAACTAGACAGGAAAAACTAAAAATCTAAGTCACAGGCTAAAGCCAGCACCTTTCACAAAGAAAGTACCTCAAGAACACCTTTCTCTTCAATATTTATAAACACATTATTTAGTATTTCTCCAGGCACCTTTCTGAGGAAGCTGGGTGCATTTGTCATTATCTTCAATTTCAGAGCTCCAATTGTAACAAGGTAATCACAGCACTTACCCAAACCCACATAATGAGGCACTGCTTGCAACATTTCCTGCTACTTTCAACTCTTGGCTATAAAATTCCAGATGCTCAGGCAGTCGGAGCCAAAGAAAATCCACACCCGGGAAACGGGTCTGTTAATTCTGTCCGAAGGGGGCCATGCTTGCTGAACTTCCCCACATGTGCTTTACCCCTATTTTGGGTTTTGTTTTTTGTCTTTCTAACTAACACAGTCAGGAGCAAAATACAGAATACAGACTCACCTCAATGTGCTGAAACATATATGGGTGGTTGCAGATTTTTCTCAGCTGCATGATAGTGTTCATAAGTGTCTTCGCACCTCCTTTCCCCTGAGCATAAGTGGGACGAAAAGAACTAATTATTCATTGATCATATATTTCCAATTTTTAAAAATTGGGCTTCAAGGCCAAGGATTGCAGCTCATTAGCAGAGCACTTGCCTAGCCTATGCAAGCCCTGGGTTCAATCACAGCACTGAAAAAGGAGGGGGAAAGAGAAGAGGGAAGGAAAGGGGAGGGGAGGGAGGAGAAGGGAGAGGGGAGTGGAGCGCAGAAGAACTAGGTAGCCCTGGGTCTTCTCAGCAACCCACACACCTTGTGGCCCAAAGCTCCTGCTGTTATTTAGCCATTTCAGGGTCAGATACGGCAAAGCCCTTGTAATTAACTTATCCTACAGGAAAAGTAAATCTTCCTGTATAATGTCAAGGTAATGGTTCTGTATCATGTCTGTTTATCCCTTAGGATTCTGGCAGACTGAGCACAAAAGATGCCAGTGAGAGAAACTGGATTTTAGAACTTCCTAAAATGCCACCCAACCCTGGGTAGCATGTATTTTCTATAGAGCTATCATGAGCAGAGTAAGTCTCTGGTAACAGGAATACAAGCAGGAACACACAGACAGTCCTTCCTCAGGCCCCAGTGGAGGTAAGAGGGTGATGATGACCTTGACAGCTACAGTAGCCATCCAAAGGCTCAGTGCTTTGCAGAAACAAGCCAGCCTTCACAGGGAGACTTCCTGGAAATGCTCAATGTCACTGGCACATGCAAGACAGAAGACTCATCACAGCACCCCAAGTTTCCTTGGCTTCTGCTACTTACCTTCTTATCTTTCTCAGAACCATCTGTGAGGAGGATCCCCTTGGCTTGCATATGACGATACAGAATCTTCTGCAGAGCTGACATGTCGCACTTGATCACGTACTCAACCTGGGGACAGAGAGCAGGACACAGGTAAGAGCAGGGGGAGGGGCTGTTCTAGGGTGGCAGTGGAGGAGAGGCTGCGCAGAGCAGGCATCTCTCCTTTCCTGGATTCTTGGGATGGGAGATGGGACAGGGTCATGGAAGGTCAAGGTCTTCATTGTTAAAGGCACCATAATGATGGTGAGACCCTCAGAAAGTTGTATGTAGGTCATATGTAGTAAATGTAAGGCCACAATTCCTAGAATTTCTTGATTCCATATTTGAGAGAGGGAATCACTTCCAAATATCCCACACAAAAATGTTCAATATGGGATATTTTTGCTAATCCTCTTTTTTTTTTTTAATTTTTGGTCTTTTTGAGACAGGGTCTCCCTGTAGCCCCAGCTGTCCTAGAACTCACTATGTAGAACAAGCTGGCCTTGAACTCACAGAGATCTGCCTGCCTCTGCCTCCCAAGTGCTGGGATTAAAGGCGTGAGCCACCACGCCCGACTATTCCTTTTTCTTAATCACACCAGCTTCCATATGAACTGAACAGTATTAGGAAAAACAGTGACTGGCCAAAATCCTATGATTTTCTTTGTAAAACATTTTTACATGGCTAAGTGCTGCTACCCTGAGCACTAATCTTGAAGTAAAATTTACGGCAAACCTAGGTTGATTGTCCTTAACCTCTACTCTTGAGAAATGACAAGATACAACACTGTGAGGACACGAAGTGAAGAATAATTAACCCACAGCACAATACAACTTCATGGCCTTTCAAAGCAGGACACGGCCTCCCATGTTTCCCGTTAAGACACAATAAAATCCAACTTAAAACACTTAAAGGGAATTCACAAGCCTATGGCTCATCATACACTTGCAAGTCTTTATCATACTCCATGTGCATAAAACATGTCTTATTTATATTATTGTTTTTCCTTATTAAAAAAGTCCCAAGAATACAAATGTGAAATTTTCATAATAAACGTCAGATTAATGCCTAGATATCTGAGAATGTAATTAAAAGCAAATCAGCAAGCTGCCTAACGTTTAATAAAATGATTAAAAATAATCAGGCTATTCTCAGTCCTAAGGGTCGGAGGGAGGAGGTCAGAGATGAAGAGAAGTTGAATATTCATCCAACTGTAACTTTAAAAGGAACCATGAAGCCAGGGAACCGCGACTGGTGTCTTGCAGCACCTGTCTTCATGCAGCTACCAATTACAGGAAGGCTTGCTTTCTGCATAAACGTCATGAAGACCAAGTAACACATTTAAAACAGACTTTGGTTTTTAATAATCTTTTTGGTCAGAGAGGAAACACAAATCTGCAAGTTTAACAAATCAGTGTGCACTTAGTTCAGGCTCTCTGCTTTGCCTCTCTGATCATGCTGTATGTATAAAGTAGTCTTTTCTTTAAAACAGTTTTCTTTTACAGTTTTCCTGAGGTACAGCTGACAAAGATTACAAATATTTAATGTCCACGGTGTGATATTTTCATCTACACATTCACTGTAAAATGATTACCACTATCCTAATTTTCAAGAGCAGTCAATTCACAATGAAGTTTGATTATAGTGAAGAAAAATGATAAATTTAAACTCTAACACATGTACAACATTGACAACATCAAGTGCCAATAATGAGCTCTATACAAAATGTCTACTGTGCTGTTCCTCACTTAATCCCTACAAAGGCTGTGTGGGATGGTCACATTTCATCTCCTCATTTTATAGACAAGGAATCTGAGCATCCGAAAGGGCTAAGTTCCTAGCTCAAAGTACCCCCATCTACTCAGGGTTTGGCAGCATCTGCTCTTCTAAACCCACACTAAGGATGACCAAGAAGATTGTACAAACTTGGCCTGGTGCTCACCTTTGCCTGGTGCCACCTCTTCTGGGTTGTTCGCACCTGGCTGAATGTAGACGCCATAGGCGATGCTTTTTTAAGGTTACCAGGGGATAGCCTATCCAGAGTCAAGAACAGAATCCTCCTTTTCTACTCATCAGTCAGCTATTGCTAAGGGATGGAGGTAGAAGAGTTTGGAAAGGGGGAAGCATGAAGACAGCATGGTGACAGGATACCAGGCATCCTCATGACAAACATTCAAAGAGAAGTGAGTTCCTCCAGAGATGGCTGCCCTGGGAAGAAGACACAGAGGCCCTCTCTATCACATGACTAAGGGTAATAGAAGTTGGTGAAAAATCACCATCATAATCTCTACAAGAGCATTTTATATTTGTTCCTGGAGTATTCCCGAACAACCTCAAGCAATTTTATTTGCTCTTATACTTTTCTCTAAGCCTGGGTTGCCCAGAATGTGAAAGCTCCTTTCTAAATTCTGCCCTACCCGAGAGTTCTTTAAGGTCTTCCCCCAGGCTGGCTAGATGGCTCAGCAAGAACGGTGCTTGCCGGAGGACCTGAGTTCCATCCCTGGGATCAACATGGTGGAAGGAGAGAACAGGCACCTCACACATGTTGTGACATGCACACACATGTGCGCGCACGTGCACACATACACACACACAGGCACACTAAATAAATGAAAAAAAATTTTTTTTAATCTTTTCTCAACTCTATCAGTCAAAACCCATTTCCCTCTCCAAGTCCCTCAAAAAAGATGGGCATGAGCCTTTTCTGATGGCAAAGCCATCTTTCCAATATAAGGATAAAGATTTTCTTATGAATTATGTCTCAAGATAAGAGTTGAGGCCCATGGAACAGTGGACAATATTAAAGATAGCTGGTTTACGTCCTTATTTCAAAATGCCAATGTGTTGACACTTAGTATTTTTGATCAGTTCCAGCTAATGAAGTTAACTTTCGATGCAGCGAATGAAAACCCAGACAAGGAACGGGGAAGGCAGCCCAACATTCTTCCCATTGTTCTCCTGTGCTCACATTATCCCACCTCATTTCTAGGTCTACCCTTTGACAGATTCTTTTCAAGCCCCCTGGAGACCAGGGGTGTCAGCCTAGTTAAAAAATCAGATCAGGGCTGGGAACACAGCTCAGTGGCCAGAGCACATGCAATTGGCATTAACCAGTCCATGCTCTTGTTAATCACACACACACACACACACACACACACACACACACACACACACAAATTCTTTAACATACTTTGATATGACTGTACACATGGTCAACTGCATCAGTGGTTCTTGAAGACATGAATTAACAAAGAAGAAGAGTCAACACAGACAACCTCAAATGGAAGTTAAATCAAAAAATCAATTTTCATTTAGCTTAAGTTGCCTTATAAAATATTTTTTCTATGAACTGGTGCTCTTCTCCGAGTATAAAGAATAGACTTTATACTAACAGGTGAGGGGGGCATAGTATAGTCCCCCGCTCAGTAGGTGTTTCATTGGCCTATTATTAAAACATTTTTCTCTGCAGCAGAGATGCCTTTATCAAACTGCTTCAGTTTCACCCACAGAAGCATGTGTAAAGATGCTCAACACTGTTCAACATCTGGGAAATAAAAATTAAGGTTTAAAGATATCACGGCATACCTACTGAAATGACTAAAACATGTTAAAAAAATCAACCATATCAACAATAAAAAAAAAATGCTTATAGTACCAAGTACTAAATAGAATGTGGCAGAATTAGAATGCTTATGCTTTGCTAGAGGAGCCACAAAACAGTTTAGAAAGGGCAGAAAACATTGGAAAAGTTCTTATAAATCATGTGTTCATTAACCAAACAACCCAGCACTCATGATCCTGCATGCTTACTCAGGTGAAATAAGAATCTATGACACACAAAACCCTAATGCAGATGTTCACAGCAGCTCTACCTACTAAGGATCATCAGAAACTAGGAACAACTAAATGCCCTCCACAACATGGACAAGCAGTGATGTGTCGATGTACAGAGTCCTATTCACCAACAAAACTAAACCTACCGTGGATATGGATAAGGGGGTGACTTTCAAACACTTTACACGGAGTTAAAAAGCAGATGCAAAAAGCAACACTCTGATTTCACTCCTCTGGAAAAGACCAATTTTCACAGGTGAGGGGGGCATAGTATAGTCCCCCGCTCAGTAGGTGTTTCATTGGCCTATTATTAAAACATTTTTCTCTGCAGCAGAGATGCCTTTATCAAACTGCTTCAGTTTCACCCACAGAAGCATGTGTAAAGATGCTCAACACTGTTCAACATCTGGGAAATAAAAAAATTAAGGTTAAGATATCACGGCATACCTACTGAAATGACTAAAACATGTTAAAAAAATCAACCATATCAACAATAAAAAAAAATGCTTATAGTACCAAGTACTAAATAGAATGTGGCAGAATTAGAATGCTTATGCTTTGCTAGAGGAGCCACAAAACAGTTTAGAAAGGGCAGAAAACATTGGAAAAGTTCTTATAAATCATGTGTTCATTAACCAAACAACCCAGCACTCATGATCCTGCATGCTTACTCAGGTGAAATAAGAATCTATGACACACAAAACCCTAATGCAGATGTTCACAGCAGCTCTACCTACTAAGGATCATCAGAAACTAGGAACAACTAAATGCCCTCCACAACATGGACAAGCAGTGATGTGTCGATGTACAGAGTCCTATTCACCAACAAAACTAAACCTACCGTGGATATGGATAAGGGGGTGACTTTCAAACACTTTACACGGAGTTAAAAAGCAGATGCAAAAAGCAACACTCTGATTTCACTCCTCTGGAAAAGACCAATTTTCAGCGATGGTAAGATTGAGGTTCATGTGAGGCTGAGTAGAGGGGGCTTCACTCAAAAGGCAGCTTTGGGGTATTACACTCTGGGTGTTAAAGAGAACAAGTATGGTTATTTAAGAGACCAGTCAAAGAGCGAATACTTAAAAAAAAGTTTACCACGGGGCTGGAGAGATGGCTTAGCAGTTAAGAGCAGTTAAGCTCTTTCAGAGCACCCAGGTTCAGTTTCCAGCACCCACACAGTGCCTAACAACCATCCATAATTCCACTTCCAGGGGATCTGATGCCATCTTCTGGCCTCTGAGGGCACTGGACAC